GGAAAGCAATTTTTTTTTTTTTTTTTTTTTTTTTTTTGAATAGCTTGAAACAGCTTGTATTTTGAATTTTACTCTGAAAACCACGGCAATGTTATAGTAAGGTTTAAATTTGAGCTTTAGTGACAGCTGATTCACCTGAAGAGGGTGAAACACAGAGGGATGGATACAGGGGTTTACAGAGACAACTTTTCCAGTCAGATAGGATATCTGGGACAATTGCAAAATCAATGAGCACCTTGCATTTCAATATTATTTTAGAGAAAGCTGAGGTTGGGGCAATCCGTAGTCAAAGGACAGCTTTCCAAGGGTGCAAGACTGCTGTATTTCCTCAGCTCCCATCGATTTCCAATAGGAATTAACGGGCTTTTATGCCCTCAAACATTTCTGCTTTCATCTAGAGTGCTAAAATGACTGCTATGTGTTTATTTGCTTGTTTTAATCCCTCCTCAAAGTGCGCTTTTTTTTTTTTTTTTTCCAATCTGTCATCTAATTCTCTGTGGCATGCTACGAAGTGATGAAACTCTTGTTGATTCGTAGGAGCAGGATTCAACCCTATAAAAGTATTGTGTTGACTACTCGGTTGCTGCAAAGTTCACACACACACACGTGTAACTCTGCTTCCCTTCCTGGTACTGCTCATGAATGTACCTGTCGCTTCCCAAAGCTCTCCAAACGCTTAAAGCTATATTCAATAAAGTAGCTGGTTCAAACATGATTTGAATGTTAGTGGAGAAGAATCTAAATTGATTTATTGTCAGGCAGGGATTTGCTTTATCGCCTTCAGCCATCGCACTGACAAAGTTTAGATCCAGGCGCTGAGATGGAAATTTTTTTTCACTGGCAGTTGGGCCTCCACGCCATGGCAGCGCCCTTGGCAGCCCTGCATTCCTCCGCGGCAGCTGGACCCAGCAGCTGGGAATGCAGGCGGATACGTTACCGGGGCCAAATCCTGCCTGCATGGCAGTCAAGGGGATTGACTGCCACAGACTTCAAGTAAGATCCGGATTTGGCATAAATAGATCATCTCTGAGAATTAGGTTGCACGCAACCTTTTTGTTTTGTCCCGGCTCCTTTTTGATTTGAAGCTGTTCTCTGCGCTGTTTTGGTTTTTCGGCTGGGACAGAGGGCCAAAAGAGAACAGAATAGATAGTTTGTTGTCTGCCATGTTACCTGATTTTTTTGGGGTGATCACACAAGATGGTAAAGCAGAGTGATACGGTCTTCTAAACAGAGAATTACTTAATTAGAAAATACCTAATTTCAGCTTCCTCTTTTTCTTGCCAGCAGAAGAACGTTTAATTGAGCAGCTAAGTATCAGAAAGTCCGCGAGACACTTGTTTTCTTAAACATGCAGGATACTCACATGTATCCATGGGAACTTACTCCTATTAAACTCTTAAAAAATAGTTTGCTGCCTGAAGTCGTTCTGCAGCAGAGCAAAGCCTGTCCTCTGGGCAAGAGGCAGTTTCCTCTCTGATGCTCTGCTCTTGCTGCGCACCGAGTCCCCTCTGCAGACCCGCGAGAACTGCCATAGCACTCCGTGCCTGGTGGAACTGGGCCTGGAGCACATGGCAACCGTGATCAGTCAGAATTAGAAAGGGGGTGATGCAGGACTCCGGAATACGGATGTTTCTCTGTTTGTCTGTGTACACAAGATACACGTTTTTCAGCAGTGTGGGTGACAAGCTACTGGAGGAAGTGGCAAATTTTCCATTTCTCCAGATGTCTAAATAAGGACTGCAAGTGCCTTTCTGGAACATGTATTTTAATCAAATAGAAATATGGAGCTCAGTGCAGAATTACTGTCAGAATAAGTCCTCAGGGACACATTGCATGCAAAACCAAGCCATCAAGGATCAAATTGTCTTTTATGAACCTCAAAATCTGTTAATACCCGTGTCTTTTTTCTTGTAATATCCTAAAAAGTATTGATACAAAGATGATTAATAATGTACTTCATGTACAAAATTTCCTCCTCAGAGGCATTTGTGCGAACACACAAAACCATACCCAGCCATCTTAAAATATAGTTCCATTTTGCATTTTATTGTCTGTTTTGAATAGCAATTTTTTTTCAGGTGCTCAGTGCCTAATTTTAGAATTTCCTAACAAAACTGTCTGCTTATTAGGAAGCAGATAATGGCAGTCTACGTGATGACAACTGTTTGAGTAGCTGTGTCCAATGTCTTTTTTTATAAAGCCCTTGGTTTACCCAGTGAATAGCTGGTACTCCTTTGCTGGGTTGTGAAGGTCAGAGTATATATGGTGGGCAGCTGAAAGCTGTTGTCTTGGCAAATTGAGAGGTGGCTCTCATTGCTCCATTCAGCTGTGACAGGCTTCAAAACTAATAGCTGGCTAGGCAAAAGGGAGGCAGTGAGTGTTTGGAAGCAGAAGCTTGTTTTTAGGGTCTCTCACAGTAAGTTGCTGTTCTCCTAAAGCACCTTTCCAGTGGAATTTTATTGCTGAGAGTGAATTTTGCAGTCCAGGGTAAGGAACATGTGAAATGTCACCTTTGTGACCTTCTTGGCATACGTCAGCTGTGAGTGTACCGATGCCATGGTGCACAGATCCAGCCTCTGCATGGGGTTGCTTTCAACTGTAAATTCTGCCTGGCCAGGTGAGCACTGCTGTTTCTTGTGATGGTTTTGTGCCCTGTCACCTCATGGCCCATGCTCTTCCCACTGCGTTCCTGCTTGGCAGGAAGTGAAAGGACTTAACTGATCTTGGCAAAGCATCAGGAAAGTATTTAGCTTTTGCCAAGCTCAGAGAGGTCTTGATACAGCATCCACATGAGAAAGGCAGCGACTGAGGCAGCTCTGGAGAAGCCTAAGGGTGAGGTTTGTTAGATCCCAAACACATGCTGTCAGATGAGATCCATACATTCATTTCTTAATCCTAAACTTAGAGGCTCAAAGTTATCATCTGTTAGTTTAGAGCCTGTAAATGGAATGTAATGTTGTAGTGGAAGTGGATGACAAAGAGGTATCGAAAGCAACTGCAGCGTTGCAGCTGATCTGGCTTCGTTGCTTAACTCAACAGCGTACGCCGTACAGAACATTTTCTCAAGTTACTAATGCTCGTATATAATGTCTGCAGTTTGGCAATTGAATCGCCTTAGAACACTGTTTATGCTCTGTAATAATATTCATAGGTCTTCATCTCTCTTTGAAACTGTTTATGAACCAGAATCGTCACTCAGGTGCAGAGGATTATGTAAAACCATGGACTGTGCACACGTAATCCACTGATCTCGGTGGAGTCACTCCTGATCTGCAAAGCTATAAGCAAAACCAAATTTGATCCACGACTTCTGAAAGCTTGTTGTTAATACTTACGTTTATATCTGTCTTACACAGCTGAATATGTCCTTAAATTTAAATTTACAGGTATACTTTAAAGTTAGGGCTGCCTCTCCCCACTCAGATGTTTAAGAGGCAAGCATCCTAGCACTGGAGGAGTCACTGGGGAGCATCTGAACTCTCTCCAAGATCTCTGAAGAAGACTGTGGAACAGGTTTCAGGCAGCATTATTTCAGGAATGTAACTGAGTGGGTTTTTAAAAGCCCTCCTAGATATAAAGAACATAGGAGGAACTTGCTTTTGGAGCTCTTAATCACAGCACTGATGAGCAAGTGCATTGCGCTCCCGTTCCTGCTGCCACGTGTGAAGAGTAGAGTCAGTGACAGCGTAAGGTCTGAGACGCCACATGGATTTGCACCGCGGAGAATCTGGCTGGTGGTGCTTGCTGGCTTTGGAGGCACGCTGCAGGCTTTCTATAAGAAGGCACCATCAGGCTTGCTGAGTCCAATTCCATATAATTGCAAGCAACCACGTAATAGATATGAGTCCAGAAAACCTGCTCCTCACCTCTTGTACATCCAAAGCCATCAAAGCTTCTTCAGAGTGCTGCAATAAGCCTGAGATCTTCAGTACTGAAGATTATACCTGGCAGGGACTACAATGGGCCATGAGAAAAGACGAGAGATCAAAGGCTCTGTCCTTGTTTTTTTCAGTAGAGGAAGAGTGTAAATTGTGTGCTATTATAGAGATTTTGAGCAGCAAGGACTCTGGCAGGATTTTTAGGATCTTCTTCTTGTGTTAGAGCATTTGAGAAGAGATCATTTTACAACAGAAAAAATACATGCTAATAACCCCAAGTCATTTCCTGTGGAAACTCAAACCACTGTTACCCTTAGCTTTTAACTCCTTCTCCCCAACCTAAAAGACAATTGTACAATGAAAAAAAAAATTCATCCTCCTTAACCATGCATGCGAGTACAAAGGAGACAGTACTGGCTCCTGGAGAGGTTTTTTTGATATCGTAGGACTCAGTATCTGCACAGCCTTGTGCACTGCAGTGATAGTGCCAAACAGCTGGCAGAGATCTGACCCACAGAGCGTGGGCTATTGCCAGGGAGAGCAGCAGGTTGGATATGGCCATCTGAGTGACCTTTTATGTCTCTGAAGAAGCTCTGGAAGTCTCATGCTCAGTGCAGTGTTGCTGTTGGTACTTGATTTGTTTTTGTTTGAGGTGGAAAGGCTTTTAGTCCCCTTAAAGATCCCATTCTCCTGATGGAAAAATTATAGCAAATTCTCCCCCAAAGAAGGATCGGCTCTTTCTACAGTCTAGACTCTACTCAGAAGAGTATGCAAAACCTTCAGCATGCTTTCATCACTGCAACTCAACCTTTTTTTAGTAAAGGGTTTCAGATACTGGAAACTCTCTTTTATTTCCTGAATTCTGTAATATTTCTATGTCCATGTAGGGAAATTTCCTTCAGGTGAAGAGTCTGCATTTCATAAGAGCATCCGCAAGAGTAGCTGACAGGGAGCAGCTGGCTGCTGCCAGGATAGTGCACCCTGCTTGGTGAAAAGGGAAATTCCCACTCCCATTTGAAGGAACTGTTAATAGGAAAATGGGTGTTTTATCATCTTGGGTCTATAA